TACATTCGACACAGGAAGTTCAGATCCTGGGGTGGTCCTGTCCAGCATGCTAAAAACAAAGCATGAAGATCCGCTCCGTTTACTTTCCCGGATTGCTCACACCCTGTTCTCTCCCTGGCAGGAAGTCAGGGTTCTGCACTTGCAGAGAGCAGAATAAACAAGCCATCCATACAGTACTAGGGACATTTTGTTTTGTTTCGCATCAGACTTCCAAAGAGAGCCCTGGGTACAATGCAATGTTAAGCTTGAAATCTCCGTGTAAATCTTTTGGGCGCTCTGCTTTTCAGGGAGACAATAAAACGTGGACTAATTTGAATAACTATTATGACAGAAGCAGCTCAAAATTGGATTCTAAAATCTCCATATCCACCCAGCTACGTAACTTAGGCAGTCAACTGAACCCCGAACCCCTGGATAAGATTCTGGGACCAGCTAAGACATCTTCACATTTGTCTTCATTCCCAAGTCCTGATGTGTCGTTGGAAGTACTCCATTGGTGTTAATTAACATATACATGAAATTGGTGACATACAAACACTCTCATTACACAGGCATAAGTCAAAGGAGATGAAATGGTAATGCTCCAGGAAAATTTGTAGCTCTGACAAAACCAGGGTGGGAACCAGCGGTTTCTGCGTCTAAATCTCGTGCTTTTGTTGCTGGCAGTATTGTGCTGGTAGTGCCACCCTGGCTGTCTACTCTTGCTCATTGTCACCACATCTGGGACCTGAGATTGCAAGACCAACAGGTTTAGAAAATATCAGCTATCTTGAACCCACCTGCTAACAATCTTTCGAGTTCGCCTTCTAAACTACTGCCACAGGGATCTTCCTAAACTGAAATCTGATGTTACTCCCCTTTGCCTCCAAGCAACTGACTGCCAGAGAATCCAGTCCGGAGTCCCAGCTGGCGTAGAAAGCCCTGCCTCTACACTGCTCCCCTTACCCAAAGCATCAGACATATTGAGGAAGTTAGTCCCACAGAAGAACCCCCCCTCCTCTATCACCGCGCCCTACCTCCTGCTGTACCTGCGCCAGGAACTCCCTCCCCCCAACCCCCCCACCCCCCCATGGAACCCCCTTCACATCTCTCAAGCTTCAGGCCTGTGTCATTTCCTCTATGAGGCCTTTCCTGATAAGCTTTCTTCTTTCTGGGCTTCCCTCTCAGCAAAACACGCACCATAATTCCTACACCCTCCCTTAACTCAAGCATCACGTGAAAAAAATGACTACAGAAGGTCTCTGAAAGACGCAAAACACTCTACAAACTCCAACTTATTTGATGATAAAAGCTATTTTACAAGAATCCTCTTTTCTTTAGAAACCTAATCACAGTACTTGTGATGATTATTATAAAATTAACCTCTCCAAATTAGAACATTTTCCTCACTGATTCACTGCTTACACGTGAGCTAAGCTTAAAATCGTGATGAGAACTCTGCTCACTTTAGCCACAAATAGATTAAAATCAGAGCCAGGTGAAGAGGATTAGCATGAACTTTGCCCCACATGCTTTCAGTAGTGAAAAATTATGTTTTCTTTGCTTTCTAGAATTCTATTCCCAACTTTCCTATTTCTTTCCTTTTACCAGTGGGATGGTCGTCCTTATAACTCTCTCTTCCAGCCAACAAATCAAAGTTTGATTTCCTTAAATGACTTTGCTCTGGCATTAAGTGTTTGTTGCTTCTTGACCACCCAATCAGGAGATTGACCCACCCTCTGCTTCTGGGACACAATGATCATAACGGGTAATGTTTACTAGGTGCCTGTTCTGCACCTGGCACTCTTTTATATGATATCTGAAAATTACAAAATTTAAACCTCACTACAACTCTCATTTCCTCTCTGCAAAACGGGAATGAGAGCATGGAAACTTAGGAAGGTTAAACCCCTCGCTGATGGTCACAAAGCAGAGGCAGGATTTCAGCCCAGGAGTTGTGGGAGAACACAGCCCTGCTGCTGAGCAGTGAAACTGACCGTGGCTGTAAAGGACTGCAGAGCAACCAGAGGGCTCTCTTGCTCTCCAGAAACTCAGGCTTAGTGCAGTGGGGGTGGGGCCCAGGGCTGTGAGAGCAGACACCAGGCTTCAGGCCAGCACCTGAGTCAATCATATGCCACAGTAAGTCGCAGCCACAAATTTGGACACAAAAACCTAAGGGAGCCGATAGGGGGCAGGTACTAACACCCAGACAGCAGTCACAGAGCAAGGGGCCCCTGGGTCAAGGCAATTGGCCATATACTAAATCCTTCTCGTGCATTTCATTCGGTTTTCAACTGAATGGAAAATGATTCTGTCTTGTTCATTTCCCTCCACTCCTCAACACCCCTTCAAAAAAGATCTCGTTAGATTAAACGTGGTATGTTGGATTGGATCCTGAAGCAGTGAAAAGCCATTAGTGGACAATTGGTGCAGTTTGAAAAGTTCTGTAGTTTAGTTGATAGTAATATGCCAAAGTTAATTTCTTTGTTGTGACAATAGCATCTAGGTTATAGAAGATGCTAGCATCAGGGGAAACTGGGTGAAGCGTACACAGGAACTCTTCGTACTCTGTGACTTTTCTGTAAATCTAACATTATTTTAAAAGCTGAAAGCTAATTTAAAAAGACCTCAGTTTAATTATTTTGAGATTAATTTATGGTGCCCACTGAGTCAATATATTGCACAATTTAAATAAATTTAGAGTGATTTTTAAATTTTTCTAAAATGATCGTTGAATTCATCAGTGAAAAGACCTGTGTTTACAGGCAAAACTCAGGTTTTGAATGTATTGGTATTAAACACTATCTTTTCAGAAAAAAAAGATAAACATTGCTTGAGAATGAGTTACAAAGTCTTATCTTCCCAATACAGTGACTAGAACTTTGAGAAACACAGAAGAATAGAGTTAGGCAAGGATATGATTTCCCTAAACACAGCTTCCTTCTGACCTCTTTCACATCCTAAAATTCCAAGTACCACAACCTGGAATATGTTTTATAAACAGCAAAGAGAAGTTTAAAAACGGCAAATTATGTAGGTAACTTAGCCATAATTATACTAGCACGGATAGGACAATTTTGCGTGACAAGTATTATTTTCCATAACAGCCTAGTAGGGAGTGGAACATGTTGTGCCCAGAGCTTCTGGCTCCTTCCTCGGATTTGAAGAACAAATTAGAAAATGACTAGTGTTGTAGTCAATGTGATACAGCTATCTGAACATTCTTCCCAGATTTGGAACAATTGTGCCTTCAACGAGATGCTATTGTTTAAACAGTCTTGTTTTTCTGGGATTAAAAAATTCACAACTATCTGGTTGCTAATCAGATTGCACTTGCTCCACCAGCCACTACCAGCTCTTTCTCCGGAAAGTGGGAGCTCCCAGAGCTCAGCTGACTGGCAGAGCAGTGCTGGCCAATATATCACTGAAGGTAACAACAGTGGCTCACTCTTGCTTTGCTTTGCCCAGGCAGATCCTGTGAATGAGTTCTGACAAGTGACCAGATAACTATTCTTCTGCTCACCATAAGTGGTCGCCATCTTTTACAAAACCTAGTGGCACACGGCCAAAGAAGAGAACTTAAAGTTCAAGGTGCGTGCTCTAGCACTAAAGGTTTCCTGAGGCGAAACAACCATGCCTTCCGCTGCTGGGGATGAACAAGAAAGAGAAGTGAAAGTGAGGAGAGGCAGAAAAGAGGAAAGAGAAAGTCAAGCTTCTGAGAAGCTGAGAATGGGCTCAGCCAATGCCAATTTCTGAGACCTTCAAAAAACGAAAAAAATGGAGAAATGCCAAAGCTGGGTTACTAAATTACAGTGTATTTCAGATTTTTCAAGTTAATAAATAAAGTTGCAAAGTGAACAGTGTTTTGACCTGTCAGTGGCTATCTCCTTTGGAAATAACATCAGAGTCTAATTTGAATCTTTGTGAATATGGAGCCCAAGCCAGTAACAGCACTACTATCCACAACGCAGCCCCAGGTGCCCACCGAAAAAGCCTCAATAGAGTGGGAGTAAAAGTTTAGAAAAATGGACTAAAGAGGATACAAAGAGAAGAGTAGCAAGGAAGCCAGTAAAGAGATCACTACCTGGGGGCTCCAATAACTGGAAGCCAGGGGAAGAGGTGCAGAAACAAAGTAGAAAAGGAGAAAGAAGAGGAACCAGGAAGACTTGGAACACTGCTTACAGTGGATTCAGGTGCACTGGGTACCACTGCAACGTCATCTTCCACCGATTCAGCCCTGATGGGCATCTCCAATGCCTTCTTGTTTAGTAAGAGGAGTCTACAATCACCTACTAGGTGCCCACTTAGCATAAAGCACTGCTCTGGGGACTGAGGAATGGGAGTCAGGATAAAAAGAATAAGATTGTCTCTGTCAACAAGGAAACTGAAATATGTTCTTCGCATTCTCTGGGAAGCCAACAAGAATCAGGTGTCAAAGTAGAAAGGTTAGCTTCCTAGAAAGATGTTCAGTACGTTGTCAAACCCTTCTAGAATAACTTCAGTGGCAAGGAACCTGCTAATTCATAGCTAGGTGCTTGGAAAATCAGTTAGTATACATAGGTAAGTACTTGGAAGTTGGGACTGGATCCTATTGTGCTAAACTCCTTTCTTCCTTAATTACTTAACTGTAACATGGTGTTAACCACCCTACCATACATGCCAATAGGCCATCATTCCAGCTATCCAAGAACTTCCAAGATGCTGGGTAAGCCAGTAAGGAAATCACGACTTCGGGGCTCCGATACTCCGAGGCCAGGAGGGAAGTTTCACTTAAACCGAATCTTGAAGGGGCAGCGGCAATGAGCCTTCTGCAGAAAGACACCAGGGTCGCCCCAAGGACAGGACGTGACCAACAGGTAAGAGAGACGGGTAGGTGGGTCAGGAGCCTGTCCAGCCAAGCTTTTTCTATTCGGTATAACCTTCCTCCTACAACCTTCACCTCTGGCTCCAATTTGACAAGTTTGACCAAAAAAAACCTCAATTTCCAGAAGAACCTTTGGGGAATCACGCTTCGGACATACCCTACGGCAGAGACGCCCGAAATCTGTGGTCCTGCAAGAACTTTCCAGCATTTTCATAAAAGGCCCCGAAGAGCAGCCCGGAAGCGCGGCTTCGTCTGTGTAGATGCTTTACACATCCACCTAAGAGCGGGGAACCGCGAAGGGCAGCGGCGGAGGCTGCCGGCCTGCGGGAAAGCCGAGAACCGCGCAGGCAGAGCGCGCATGCGCGGGAGGAGCCGGCGCGCCGGGCTTCGGGGCGAGGGGCGGACGCGCCCCCGGCAGGGGCCCTGCGCGAGCAGGGTGCGCATGCGCGAGAGGAGCCGGCGCGCCGGGCTTCGGGGTGAGGGGCGGAGGAGCTCCCGGCTGAGGTCCCGGCGCGGGCAGGGGGCGCATGCGCGGCAGGGGCCGGCGCGCGGGGTCGGGCTTCTGGGAGGGGGCGCGGCGCTCAGCATGGCGTCCAACATCTACGTGGTTCGCCAGCGGATCAGCCGGCTCGGCCAGGTGCGCCCCGGGGCGGCGCCGCCCCTCCCCGGTCCCCGCCCGCTCGCCCGCCTGCCTCTCCGCCCCTCCCCGGCCCCGCCCCTGCGCCTCGGCGAGCCGCCCAACCGCCGCCCCGCCCGCCGCCCGTTCTCCGCCCTTCCTCGCCCGGGCGCCGGCCGCGTCGGTCCCCCGCCTCCTCGGCCCTCCGCGCTGACTCTCTCCCTCCTTCCTTCAGAGGATGTCCTCCTTCCAGCTCAACCTGAGCCCGCTCAAGGAGCCGCTCGGCTTCATCAAGGTCCTGGAGTGGGTGAGTGCGGCGGCGAGGAGGCCCGGCGGGGCGGCGGGCGGCGGGCGGCGGGCCCGCGCGGTTCTCTGCGCGCCGGGAAAGGGACTTCCTGCCGCGCGCGGTCCAACCGAAACCGGCGGCCGGCCCGGGCCGCGCTCCCTTCCCCGCCCGCCGGCCGGACGGCCCCGGGCGGCCCCGAGCCCTCCGCGCCTCCTGCGCCGCTCCGCTTGGCCCCGAGTTAGAACCGGGTAAAAATAACCCGTGGGTCAGGGCGGCGGGCGAGCGGGCGGGGGGGACGCGGTCTTTTCACGAAACGCATCTGGTCGGTGCGATCCACCGAAACACGTGCTGGGAGTCGCCGTGGACTCGGCTGCGGGTGTGTTCCCGGCGGCATCCCGCAGCCCGCTTGTGGTCCCTTCCCCGGGCACTCTCAATCATTAACATAAAAGAGACTGATTCCTGCGACCTTGGCCGCGATCTGTCGCCTGCAGGGCTCTGCAGATCTCCTCCGGCCTTGGCGCCTCGTGCATGTTCTGGGGCCGGTTTGGGGGCCCGTGTTCGCGGTTCGCGGGCAGCTGGCCCCTGCCTGGCGTGCAGCAGGTTGTTTTGATAGCCAGCGACATGTACATCCGTAACGCTTGAGCCCTGTGTTTTAGAGACAAGGTGGTGAAGGGGCAGAACTTCTGATTTCCTGTTTGAAAGACCCCGCCGAGGATGTTTTTTTAAAGTAGCACAGAAACTGAAATTCTCAGATGGGCACTCGATCTGATTTCCTACCCACGCCCAAGGTTTCTTGCCCTTTCCCTGCCGAGTTTTACTTGGGGTTTTCTGAAAACTGTAGTAGTGCTGATTTCACACAAGTGTTTCCTTTAAAGACACGTAGATGTATTTACTTAGGGTTCTGTCAGCCTAGGTTCAGATTTAAATATAAAGAACATTATTATTTGAGTATATAAAAATTTTAAATTATAGGAGGAACGTCACATTTCACTAGGCTAATGAAATATAAAGGTTGAGAAAAAGGCTTATACCTCCTAGCTTGAATTTCGTTGAGGATTATAATTAAATTTTCAATTTTCACTTAAATCAGTGAAGAGGCAGTTGTTTATGTGTGTGCTTATATTATTTGTCCATCTTTGAAAAAGTAGACAACTTTTTTCCTTAATGTTTTAAGACAATGGTAAGTTTATTAGTGATCAGTGGTCTGATATATTTTGAAAAATACCCTTTTTTAAGCTTCTTAAGGAAGTACTACTTTCAGTTTGAACAACTTATTACACAGGAGAACGTTTTATGAAAAGACTCTTCATTGTTGATGGTGTAGTGAATATTTATTCAACAAATATTTGAGTATGTGTTATATACTGGGGCTGTGCAAAGCACCAGCCTACAAACACGAGTAAAACATGGTCATTTCCTCAAGATCTGTTGAGAAAGAAAGACATGAAAGCAAATAGGAAAACGCCATATGAAAAATACTATAATAAAGGTACAGGCAAACTGTAGTAGGAAGGAGAAACCAGCGGCCTGGAGAAGTCAGAGAATTTCCTAGACGGAGGAACTCTTGAAGGAAGAGTGCTTGCCCTCTTGGGAAGTGGGTGGGGAGTGGCTTTCCAGGCAAAGGGGATCTTCTGTTCAGTGGTGTGAAAAGTCGAAGCAGCATGCCCTAATTCAGGACTTAAAGTGACTGGGGTTGGCTGGAACATATACTGGGAGGGAGGGTGTGGTTTGAGATGATTCTGAAAGATTTTGAAGGGCTTGCAGAATAGCTTGGAGTTTATCCTATGAACCAATGATTCTTAACCTTCTGGGGTTAACCTTTGATGACCTGGCTCCTTTCCTTAGGAAGATACGTATGTGCAGGGTACAGAATTTTGGGTTGGTGATTGGATAGCTTCCATTTAAGCCCAGAATTCCGACCCTATGAGGTGGAGACTCACTCGTTGAAGGGTTTTAAACAGGTGGCTAATATAATTTGATTTGCCTTTTAGAAATTTTCATTTTGTCAGCAATGTAGAGAATGAATTGGAAAGGACATACGTGAAGGAAGGGAGACCTGTTGCTTGAGAAATTATAAGGGCCTAAAATTAATTCAAGTGGAATTAGAGAAGAGAGGTTTAGAAATTAGAATATGCTTGGAGGGTGAAGAACAGGGAGGACTCTAAGGTGACCGCCGTGTTTCTGACTTGAGTTGGTAGTGGTGCCTCCACCAAGATACCACTAAGGAGAAGCAGCAGTTTTTCGGTGGAAGATCAGTAAGGTTTTGGATGTATTGAATGGTCTCTTTAGATCATATAAGTAGAAGTATGCTATAGGCAGTTAGATATATGGATCTAGAGTTTAAAAGACATGTATGGGCTGGAGATTCAGCAGATAACTGCCAGCAAAGGAGAGAAGGAACGCTTAGGAAGATGGAGAGAAATAACATCTTGGCATCGCTATTAGAGAATTTCAAGAAGCGTGCTTAGTAATATCCGGTGCAATAGAGAGGTTAAGTAAGATAAGGACTAAAATGCATCCCTTGGCTTTGGTAATCAAGAGGCTCCTGGTGGCTTTAGTAAGAGCGGTTTCAGTGAAATCAGGAACCAGGTGGTAGTCAGCTGAATGGAGGGGTGGTAGGAAGGTGGACAGTGAGAGTAAACTGCTAGTTGACTGTGAAGATGGCCAAGCTTTGGTGGTAGCCGTCCCAAAGCTGGAAAGACGGAATGTGTTTGTGGGTGGTAGAGCAGAGACTTGTGAAGAGACTTGTTGGAGGTTAAAAACAGAGGCAGAGAGGGGGCAAATGCTAAAACAAGGTTCTGGAGGAGAAAGCCCCACAGGAGGAATTTTTAAGTGTTTTGAATGAATTGTTCACGTTCATAAGCCAGTGATGGAGGTCTGTCAATAAATAAGGTAACAAACAAATCGAAATCCAGATAAAGCCTGCTTACCATCTATGTAACTAAAAGAATAATTCCCCGCATCAGCTTATCTCTAGCAAGGTTCTAGAAGACCTTAGACTAAGGTATACCCTAATAACATGTAAGCTTCAAGGGGTTCCGAATCTGAAGGCCTTACAGACATGAAGGCAAGATGCCCAGTAAATATTTATTGACAGAATAAAGATACAGCCACCGAAGCAGAAGCACTTTGCTTCTAACCTGCAGTCACCATGTTATTTTTATTTATTTATTTATTTTTAATTACTCCGGGCCCGAGGTATAGTGCCTAGCAGTGGCATTGCCCTAGTTCTCTTTGTGTAATTCGTACTCGGTAAAGGTTGACTCTTTGTTGCCCTCATGTGGGAACAGCAATAGTTCCAGGGCTGTCGAAACGATTGAGTTAGTATAGAAATGTGTGAGTGGCGACAATGTGCTGGAACAGTTCTTAGTAGCTTCTGAGCTGCCGCGTAGAAGCAAGACTAGACCCCGACAGTGCCTCGCATGGAGCCCTGTAGGCTGACGTACTTGCCTCCTGGTCCTTCAGGATCGCTGAGCTCTCTACTACATGTTTAAACTTATTTGTCCCCGTGTTTCCTGCCTTGAGCAGCCCATCAAGGTGACAGTAGGAAACTTAGGTAAGAATAGATGTCCCATGTGTAGGAGTTGAACACTGGAAGTAAAAGTCAAGGATTAATTTGATCTAAGCAGCTTTTTTTAAAGTATTTAATATTTCTCTGGTAAATTTTAATTTGGGTCTTTCTTTATAGTCAATTATCCCTGCTATTTAGATCAAAGTTTTTCATTAAAGTGATTTGATCTCCTTTTAATGTCGAACATTGCCTTTTGGACTTTCTAGCTGCTGTCTTGCATAGGGTGGGCACTGAAGAGATGTTTAGCACTTAGTGAATCGAAGTAATGTGCTTTCCTAATGCCACACATATAAAATTGTGGAAGAGATACTGATTGGGGAGTATGTGAGGAATTTCAGACTAACTTAAGTTGAATGTTAGAATTATTAACCATCTCTGAATGTTTTTGTATTTGCTGATCGAGTTTATTCTCAGTATTAACAGGAAACATTTATTGAGTGTGATGTATGTGCTAGGGCTCTACCTGTATTTCTCATTTAATCCTGACAGCCTGGAGTTGTCATCTCCAGGTCCCATGTTACTGCTGTTGTCTCCATGTTAGCAAGGCGAAGGGAAATTAAGTAATTTGCCCGGGGCCCCATGATTGTGATTACTACATCCATGCCTCTAACTGTCTGTTCTTAGTCATCTTGATAACTTACCTTTCTGTGTCCAATTGGTCTTTTAACAAATTAATGAAAATATTACCCAAAATTTCAAGCTTAAAAAACAAAAACTTAAGGTATCTGAAGTAATTTCTTTCTTATTTGTTAAATGCATGCTTATAATAAGATCTTAAAAACAAGTAGAGTCTTCTAGATTCATTTACAAGTTT